ATTACAAATAATACTACAAAATAAACTTCTGATTGGTAAATATCAGAGGTAACTTAAATTCATTCACTAACTTTAGGAGCTATAATAGAGGCCATTAACTGAAAAAACCTTATAGATTAGAGACCCAGAATGAACAGTTATTTCTTAGGAAATACAAATTTGATTCCAGCAAAGTAAAAATGACAGGAGTGATATGTATTAGAAATTCCAATATCTTAATATGCAATCTTCACCTTTCTCTTGCAACTGAAAGCAACATACAAAAATTTTTTTTTTTTTTTTCCCAAATCTTTATTGTTGGATGTAAAATGTATTACAGATGTTCCACATTTTCCCCCCATTGACCCCCTCCTCCCCCCTCCCACCTTTTCCCACACTATTATCTGTGTCCATTGGTTATGCATATAAGTTCTTTGGTTTATTTCTTCCCACCCCCCCAACCCCTTTCCCTTTGAGGTTTGTCAGTCTAGCAATGAGTTTGTGCTTCTTCATCCCTTCACCTTTTTCACCCATTCCCCCAACCCCCTTCCCAACTGGCAACCAATAAAATGTTCTCTGTATCTATGAGAATGTTTCTGTTCTTCCTGTTCATTTTGTTTGTAGATTCCATTGTTGATAGATATGTATTCATTGCCATTTTGTTTGTTCATACATTTTATCTTTTTCTTCAAAAAGACCCTTCATCATTTCATATAATAACGGTTTGGTGGTGATGAACTCCTTTAACTTTTTCTTGTCTGGGAAAGTTTTTGTATGTCCATCGATTCTAAATGACAGCTTTGCAGGATAGAGTAATTTTGGTTGTAGGTTCTTGGTTTTCATCACTCTGAATATTTCTTGCCACTCCCTTCTGGCCTGCAAAGTTTCTTTTGAGAAATCAGCTGACAGCCTAATGGGTACTCCCTTGTAGGTAACTAGCTGCCTTTCTCTTGCTGCTTTTAATATTCTCTCTTTGTCTTGAACCTTTTGCATTTTGATGATGATGTGTCTTGGTGTGGGCCTCTTGGGGTTCATCTTGTTTGGGACTCTCTGTGCTTCCTGGACTTGTATGTCTGTTTCCTTCACCAAGTTAGGAAAGTTTTCTGCCATTATTGTTTCAAACAGGTTTTCAATTTCTTGTTCTCTCTCTTCTCCTTCGGGCACCCCCAAGATGCGAATGTTGGCACGCTTGAAGTTATCCCAGAGGCTCCTTACTCTATCCTCATTTTTTTGGATTCTTTTTTCTTTTTGCTCTTCTGATCGGGGATTTTTTGCTTCCTTATATTCCAAATCGATGGTTTGCTCCTTGGATCTACATACTCTATTATTGAAGCTGTGTAAATTATTCTTCATTTCAGTTAATGCCTCCTTTAATTCTAACTGTGTATCCATGATTTCTAACTGGTCCTTTTTTATGCTCTTGATGCCCTCCCTAAGTTCACTGAGGTTCTCACTAAGTTCATTGAGCATCCTTATAAGCAGTATTTTGAACTCAGTATCTGTTAGGTTGCTTATCTCCCTTTCGCTTAGTTCTTTTATTGGGGTTTTGTTCTGTTCTTTCATTTGGGACCTGTTTCTTTGTATCCTCATTTTGGCTGCCTCCCTGTGTTTGTTTCTGTGTATTACTTAATGAGAGGTATGGGGCTCGCTGAGACCCGGTGCTGCTCGTTTGAAAGAATTTAGGAAAAACCTGAAGCAGGATCCAAGACCGGCCAATCCTATGGTTAAGCAAGTGGCAACAGCTTGTTGAAGTTGTGTGGGGCGGGGCGGGGCCTCAGGGAGTCAGCAGGGCGGGGCTACGAGTGTGAGCCAGGTTGCTGGAGTCCCAGATATGGCTTCTGTCTGCCGCCCCCGGGAAGGGCTCACCAAAGGAACAAAGGCCTCTGACAGCACGTTTGTCCCCGAGGAAGCCCCCTCTCCAGCTCTCGCTCCAGTGCCAAACAGCTCAGTTCTTCCCTGTGTGTCTCTGGTGCCCCTCGAGCTGCCTCCCCTCGGAGCTTAGAGGGAGAGAGTCCGATAAGTCCGTGCGCGGGCCCTTTAAGGAGCTGCCTGGGGCTCCAGCCGCTTCAGCTTCCCTGAGCCTCAGTTTCCGCTGGATTTTCCAGCCAGAAGTGATGGGGACTTCTCTTCCTGGCACTGGAACCCTGAGCGGGGCACCTGGTGTGGGACAGGGACCCCTCAGTCCTCAGGAAGGACCTTCCCAGCCGCGGGATCCTCCTGATTTTTATCCACCACGCTTGGGTGTGGGACCAGCCTGTCTCCCTGCTGCGCGCTCCGCTGCCGCCGCGCCGCCGCTCCCCCTCGCGCCGCCGCCCCTCCTACCGGTCTGGATGTAGCTGCTTTTTTTTTTCCCCTTAGTTCCGTAGTTGTAGGACTTCCATTCAGCTTGATTTCAGGCGGTTTTGAATGATGGTTGTTCTGTAGTTTAGTTGTAACTTTGATGTGGTTGTGGGAGGACGCGATACCGCGTTTACCTACGCCACCATCTTGACCGGAAGTCCGCAACATACAAATTTACTGTAATACCATACATCTCAAAACCTGACATGGGAAACATGGCTTTTTATTCCTTTTTTTTTTATCCTCACCCGAGGACATTTTTTCATTTTTTGTTCAGACAGAGTGGGAGGAAGAGAGAGAGAGAGCGAGAGAGAAACATCGACGTGAAAGGGACACATCGAGTGGTTGCCACCTGCATGATCCAACCAGGGCCGGGGACAAACTGCAACTGAGGCACACACCCTTAGCAGGAACCGAACCCGGGTCTCTCCGGACCTCAGGCCGACGCTCTAACCGCTGAGCCAAACTGGTCAGGGCTTTATTCCTTTTTAAAAGTCAAATATGTCAGGTTTGCAATAAAACTTGAGATGTATTTTAATGTTTTAGGAAATGACTAGCAGAAAATTTACCATAATTAAAACTTGTAAAAAGTCATACATTTTTAATATTAAGAATAGAAAATTTATATTCAAAGCCATGTTTTTAAGTATAGTTTTCCAAAGAAAGAAAACTTAGCAAGACTGTCTTTGCAGTACTCCAGAGGTGCGAGGACCGGCTACCCCGCCGCATGGTTTTTCTGAAACAGAGAACTAACTTACAGCAGCGGGGTAACTGATCCACATCTCTCCCAATCACTCCCCAAGTACATTTCCTGGTTACCACTGGAAACCAAAGATTTCATTCTTCTTTACTTTTACCAAACCTTTACTTTCTGGGACTTGAGCCATCAGGATAACATGTGTTAATGTTTAACTGAATTCATAAAAGGTAATGTTGGCTAACTTAGAGAAAATTTCTAATCTCATCTTTAGGAATAGTTCTGACAGAATGAGAAAATACATTGATTGGTGACAAGAAATAAGGGGCAGATATTTAGATATTCTGAATGCAATTGTATAAAAAGTATTTTAAGAGCTAAGAGTTAACTGATGCAAAATTAGAAAAGAATCTTTGTGGTCTTCTTTTCAAATACAAAAGCCTTCCTCTGGTGTGTGTTCACATGCACGTGCACATGTATGCATACAGTCATGTGCATGGAATATCCCCACAGATATACACGGTAACAATAATGAGTAATCATCTAGTACTTATGTGACAGACCCAGTTCTAAGTGCTGTACATGTATTTATTCATAATATTCAAAACAACCCTATGAAAAGTAGGTATTATCATCCCTGGTCTATAGAGGAAGGACTAAGGCAGAGAGGGAAGAAACTCAGCCATGGTCACACAGCTGGTAAATGGAAGAGCAGGGACCTGAAGACCTGACAGACAGTCTGGCTCCAGAGTCAGTACTCTTAGTTAAATACCATGTAGTTGTACTTTGGCTAGAACTGATTAAGAAAATACATAATGACCAGATAAACAAAGAGAACTACTATGAATCCAGTAATGCTTAAATAAATCAGTTCATTATAAATTCAAATGGTATTTGTGTACACCAGTCATGCTTCATATACCATTTTAGCTAAATAAAGAACAAAATGATACTGCATGATATGCAGAGGGATTTAAGCCCTCTTGTAGTAACTTCCTGGGAGTCTTCAGTTGTCCACTGCTCACAAGTTTGGAGTCATTTAATGAGTGTAAAATAATATATAATAAAATAATAGATTGTAAAACTCAAATTATAAATATGAAAAAGCAAGGAAAAAATTATTGCAGTGCTTTGAGAAGGAAAAGAACCTTTCAAGATTAGGCCAAGGAGGGGAAGGAAAAGCATTTAATTAACATTAAGGGCATGTAAGAAGAAGCAACTTGGGTTCTTAAACAGGGAAGAACAAGATGAAAGAAACATTCTGTGATCTGGTCATTGGAGCCAGCAGTAAGAAGAGAATCAGCCCAGTTAGGGTTATTCGAGTAATTCGCACATGTGACATGAGGCGTTTCCCGCAGAGCCGTGGAAATGGGAGAGGAGGGGGAGGGACTGCAGCATGATGGACACCTGCGGAGGGCAAAGAGGCAGGAAGCTGAGGGGCCTGAATGTTAAAGGCCTGAAATGCAGTGCTGCCCCTGGTGGTCCAGGGATGAGGGTTTGGTCATGTTGGAGAGAGGACAGGAGAAAGGGGTCAAGATTTCCCCCAAACAGCTATAAATTCAACTGGGAGATTTGGGTCGGCGGTCATGTCCAGGGATACCTGTTTATCTATAGATTAATTGTACACATAAATGATCGGTCCCAAAACCATCATCCAAGTCCTGAGCATGGCTGGGTCTTCTGAGGGGGAACGGGAAGAGCAGGGCTGAGATGGAGGCAACAACCATAATCACAGTGTGTTCGAGGAAAAGGAGAGAGAATAATACCCATTTCAGAGCAAAAGGGACCCTGAGCCCTCTCTTACTATAGTCAGGCAGAGTGACTGCAGAGGTAGCCAAGGACAGAGAGGGCATGGAGAAACAGGTGGAAAGCCAGATAGCGCTCCAGGAGGCTGGCAGCCCTCAAGGAAATTGGATTTGTCATTAGACATTTCCTCCAAGCAAATGAATCAAAATTGAAACAATATTCACAACTATTTCGTTACCTTAATAACTTCATCAGATCCTCCAGCAACAGATTGTGATTTGAGTTCTTCAATTTCTTTCTGTAATTCTAAACATTAAAAAAAAAAAGGATTCTAGTTCAGAAATGAAAAATAACTGGCTAAAGTAATAAGTACATTCTTTAAAAAAAATCACTATAAATTAGAATATATTTAAGCAGCAGCAAATATTTTGAGAAAATATTAACTTTACCCAGTGTTATCTTTTATTTTCCTTTTCATTATGAAAAACTCCAAACAAATAAAAGAGAATAGTATTATTAATTTCCATGCACCCATCACCTTGACTTAGCAATTATTACATGGCCAATCTTGTTTCATCCTGACCTGTATTCACTTTCCCCTTTCTGTCAATTTTTGAAGCAAATCCCAGACATTTATGTTATTTCAGCTGTAAACAACTTCTTACTGTGGAATCTTGAAGCAACAACTAACCTCATATTAAACATACATGTGAATCTTTTTCATCAACTCATGTATATAGGTCAGCAGCTTAGAACACCTTTCCAAATAAATAACTATCTCTGTCACAAACTGATCCAAACTTCCAAAACACAATTTGACCTTTTCTAGTAGAAAGTAAGTCTTGTCTTTTAGGCTGGGTAGTTAACATTCTTTAAGTCACCGGAAATTCAAGCACTAATTCACACATACTAAAAAGGATACTAATATCTTCATCCTTTTGGAATATAAAGAAAGGGAAACTAAACAGGGACTCAATCAACTTCAGCAAATAAATATAATTCAAAATTCCAGAAATGGAAATCTTTTATTACTTTACTTAGGCTTCATTTTACCTCTGTGGCTCATCGCCTTGTGTCTCTAATATTTCAACTAAGTACTCTAGAAAAAACATGCTTGACTCAGAAGACTATACAATCTAAATAAAGTGGAAAAAAAGGGGCTTAACTTTAACAAATTGTTTTTAAAAATCTTCCTCTCTGACTTTAAGAATTCAAAGGAAGTGCCGTTCCAGTTTAGAAATGTTAAATACAAAATAAAAAAAAACAGAGGCAAATGGTTAGAATTTTAAATAGTAACAGATTGCACTACATTGTCTAAGATTTTACTGGATTCACTGGTAAATAAAACAAGCTAATATACTATTAAAAAACTAATTTTTAACTATGATTAATTAATATTGTGGTCAAGATATATATTTTCAACCCAATACCTGCACATCTTGAATTAGCTTTCTGTGTTAGCATCATCTGCTTCTTGGCAAACTTGATAAGATCTTCCTTGGGCAGTGTTTCCAGCTGAAAGATGTAGTGATGTTACCAATTTGTTATCTCATGTTTCTACTATATTGCAAAAGAAACATCATATCTGCTAAAAAAAATTAAAATCCTACTGAATGTCAGCCAAACACTCCATTTTAAAAAATAAGCAAACGCAACTCAAATCAATGATTAGTTAAGTAGCTACTAGGAAATGTAAAAACAGCGTATATCCTCTTACAGATACTGTTGTCAGAGGTTAAGACACTTTCTAGGTTTTGATTTAGCTGTAAAATTAGGGGACTGGGACTAATTCTACTTAAAGTTCCTTAGAGCTGTAAAACTATTTCATTCTATCCAAGGCAAGTCTTTGGCTACATACAAACATGTAAGCATAATCCTTACAGCAGTTAGATGAATCATCTTGCCTTTAGGTTTTACCTAAAAATCAGAGAAAATTCCTTCACTTTTAGGCTGTTTTCTCACCTGTGAAACTGGGAAACAGTGACAGTTATCTCATGGCTATCATGAAGCTGAAACGAAGGAGCAAGTGCCTGAAACTTAGTATGCAGGTGATAAACCACCACCTTTGGGACTCGTTCAGTGAACTGCCGCACAGGGCCACAAAACCCCCGATTCAGTTCTCTCTTCACCGCACTGGGCCACAAAACCCCCCGATTCAGTTCTCTCTTCACCGCACTGGACAAGCCTGGAGTACGTCCCTCGACTCCCAGCTGCCTACGTCTCTGCTCTTCCCACCACACTGTATGAACGCTCACCAATGAGCCTGCTTTATGTCTGAAAAGCGGCAGAATGTCTTAGCCGCGCTCACCGGACGCAGGAAGCAAACAAAGTCGCCTTTGCACGCCAGGAAATTAAAAAAAGGAAGAGATGGGCCTGCGCAACTGAAGTGAGAGCCCCTGGAGCAAGGCTGTTCCTGCGCAGAGTCCGCCCCCTCCCCAAGCCCAGTGCCTCTTCACCTTGGATCTTCCGGTCCCAGGCGCGGCCGGCGAAGCCATCCCACCTTGCACGAGGTCCTGCAAAACAAAATCACACCCAGGCGATCAGAAGACCTCTCTCGAAAGAATGCGCGACTTCGCGAGGGAGAAACGTCTCGGGGGGATCCGGGTCGGAGACCTGGAACGTGGGCCGGGGCCGGGGAAGGGGGCGGACGGGCCGTGGGGCCGATGGCAGCAGCTGGAGTGAGTGGCTCTGCCCGGCCGGAGGGCGAGGCTCGGGGTCGGGAGACCCTGGCGGCTGCTGCGCCCTCCCCTGCCCCTCCCCGGCCCGCCGCGTTACCTCCATGGCGCTCGCCCACCCCGGGGTCCGCAACCCGGCGCTCGCACCTCCGCCGCGGCCCGAACGCGCGTCAGCGCCCTCCTCTGACGTGGCCTCCACTGTAGGTCAAAGGTGGCGTTTCTCCGGCGACCCCGCCCTACGCGTGTCCATGGCGACGGCCCGCCGCGCTTCCGCTTCCGCTCCCGCTCTGGCCGCCGCGGAAGTTGTCGGGCCGGGAAGCCCGGCGGCCGCGGGGAGGGAGTTCGGCGACTCCTGTGCAGTAAGCCGAGCAGCGCGGGGGTGGCTGTCACGTCGCAGCCGGTCATTTAAGGGTGGGAGTGGGCTCGCACCCGGAACCGCGGGGTGCTTGTTCTCGGTTCAGGTAAAGGACCGTGGGTTTTCCCCCCGTAGGGATCCAGTGCAGGAGCAGGGCTTGCACTTCATTTTCATACTTGTTTAGGCTTGTTTAACCTGGAACATTTCCACAGCCTTTCTTAGCTTTCATGAAATCGACATCTTTTGTATTTTGTGAAAAACAAACAGTCGAGCTCGGATGCAGACAGAGCAGGTGGGCGGTCGCCGGAGGCAGAGTGGGGGAGGGGAGCGGAAGAAGGGGTCAAAGGTACACACTTCCGGGTATAAATAGAGGCGGGGTGTGATGCACGCACGGTCGCTATGGGTGCTACCGCACTGCCTGTTTCAGTTGCTAAGAGTAGATCTCCGAAGTTCTCAGCACCAGAAAAAGTTGTGTTTGTGTCTGGATAGGTGTTGACTGGCCTTACTGGGTCATCATTTCCCAGTATCTACAACTATTGAACCATGATGTTCTACAGCTGTAACTAATGTCATGTCAATGATAGATTTAAAGAGGAATTTAAAAATTGACATTTTTGAAAACTAGAGTCCTCTCCACCTTTAATTCAGTTTACTTTTTAATATATTTTTTGTTAGTCCTCACTGGAGGATATTTTTTTTCATTGATTTTTAGAGCGAGTGGAAGAGAAGGGGACAGAGGAAGGGAGAGAAGCATGATGTGAGCCAGACGCATCCATTGGTTGCCTCCCACACATGCCCTGGCTGGGAGATGGGAATGGAACCGGTGGCCCTGTGGTCTGTGGGCTAATGCTTTAACCACCGAGCCACACTGGCCAGAGCTTAATTTATTTATTTTTTATTTTTTTTTATCCTCACCTGAGGCCATTTTTCGATATTTTGTTCAGATAGAGTGGGAGGGAGAAAGAGAGAGAAACATCGATGTGAAAGGGACACATTGAGTGGCTGCCACCCACACGACCAACCAGGGCTGGGGACAAACTGCAACCGAGGTACGTAGGTATGTGCCCTTAGCGGGAACCGAACCCGGGTCTCTCTGGGGATGTGGAGCTCCTAAGGCAGCAAGTGTGCCACAGCTTTCTGGACGGCTTCTGTGAAGTTTGTTGTTTTGCACCACACTCAAATGATACCAATTTATGGGTTAGCCAATAGCAAGGCCAAGTGGAATGCCCAGCTGAAGCATGTACTGGCTTTAGTACCCAAAGAATCCAAGAATGCTCTGGGCCTCCATTTTGGTGGGGGAGGGACGGAAAAAGCTAGTAGCATGACTTCCAGAGGAATTGAGCACAGTGAATCTGCTTATTCGATTCATAGTTCCAAGAAACTTATTACCAGACCCCCCCTTTCTTATTAGACTTTACCAGCCTCCACTATTAGAAGGGATGTGACAACTCTCCATCAGGGCTGTTGAAACTGGGGCTTCTAACTTGACAGTCAACAGCACATCACCTCTATAGTGGGTGTTTGGGACAAGAGGTGAGAGTGGCATTTTCTCTGAATCCTGACCCACTCATTGGTAGCAAATGACCAAAGAGTTTGACCCCCTAGCTCTTGTTTACACAGGTTTGTTCATTCTTCTCTTTTCTAAATATGTTTTTCTTGTTTCTTTTTTAGAGAGAGAGAGGTAAAAACATTGATGTGAGAGAGATACATTGATTGGTTGCCTCCTGCACGCCCCCTACTGTGGATGGAGCCCACAACCCAGGCATGTGCCCTGACAGGAAATTGAACCGGGACCTCTCAGTCCATGGAATGATGCCCACTCCACAGAGCCACACCAGCCAGGCAACACACAGGCTCTTTCATATCGGGAAGATCCCCTCCTGCACTCACGGGATGGGGAAACACACTCATAGAATCTGTGAGTTTCTACTTAACATTTGAATGTAGAACCAACAGCACAGGGAATCAACCAAAGGAGCTCCTCGCGTACAGTCACTTTAGTTTCCTTTCTCCCGAGCCATCCTGTCCAGACTCCATCAAGTGAATATGGGCGCTTTCTCCTCAAAAGGGACAAGGCAGGATGGTGACTTGGATTCCTTTATCTAACAGAGTCATAACAGTTTGAGTCCCTCACTGTGAAGTTCCCTGAGCTTATTCAGGCAGGTAGAATCCCATGGACTTATATTCCTCTTGTAGAGAGGGAAACCTTTGCCTGAAACCTAATCTTTCTTTTTAAAGCAACTGGGTACAGAGAATAGATGGCAAGAGAGGGATCAGGAAGGCAGAGGAAGAAAGTAGCCCCATATCAGTAAAAAGGGTTTAGATTCCATTTGTTATGAGCAGAAGGATAGTTGCTTGGGGCTCAACCAAATGAACTAATGTTTTCGATCCACCAAGATCTCTGTATTCTCATTCTGATACCACTTGATTCAGCTACACATCTTTGAAAACACAGCGTGCCTCTGCCTAAGGGACGCACAGAAGTGTGTGAAATCCAAGCAGAATTGCCTCTCAACACCTGACATCTTGTACTTTTCCTAACAATAGTTTTAGGACTATTTTGGTAGATTTTCCCCTTGGATTACACACACACACACACACACACACACACACACACACACACAATCTTATCATCTGAGAAGCAGCTGGTTTAATTTCTTCCTTTGAAAGTATGTCTGTTTTTTTCTTCCCTGAGGGCACAGGGTGGAGCGTTCCAGCACGCTTTGAACAGGGTTGTGCATGTACATTGTTGCCTTGATCTCATCTAAGTGGAACAATGCTCAGTGTTTGCCTGTTAAGTATGAGGTTAACTATAGGTTTCCATGTGTGGATGCTCTTTAACAACCTTCTGCATCTGCATTTAAAAATCTGCTTTATAATACCAGCATGTCTTTATTATAAAAGTTAAATTAGTTATGGTGAAGTTAAGAAGGTGCTATGCCTTGGTCCACTTCTCTTCTGAAAATGCCCTTGTACTCATGTGTCCCCTTCATCTCCTTGTACTTTGTGCGGTCTTTAGTGACATTCTCATTGCATTTAAGTCTTTAAATGTGTCCCCCCCAGATTATGGTTTTGTGTATTTGGGGCTTCTGTTCCATGGTAGCAGAGCGCACATCCTATTCTCTCTCTAATGTGTGCTCAGCACTCATGTGCACACCGTCCATGTTCGATAGCTAACACTTGTGGACAATCTTGTTTCACTTTTACCACCCTCCCTAGTGCTCCTACATTATTTTGAAAAAAAAAAAAAAATCCCAGAGATCATATCTTTAATTTTATCAATAATTCTGAATGTAGCTCAAAAAGACAGACTCTTTAAAAAAAGTAGAACAATATTTTTAGAACATTATGCAACTAATAGTGAATAATAATATATCATAGACAGTGTTCACATTTGATAATTTTCTTTTTCTTTTTTAAAAAGATGGTAAAGCAGACTTTATTCAGGGAGACGGCTACAGTGGGGTTTGCTCTAGGGGAGAGAGATTGGGCTCAACTCTGAATACAACAAGGAAGAGTGGGAATTTATAGCCAAGCAGCAGGGTGAGAGGTCAGTGGATTACTAGAAGAAACATCCAGGCTAGGGGGATTTGTGTTAGACTAACTCAACAGCGTTCTTGCTCAAATCAGGCCAGGGCGATACGATATTGTCTTACTTTGGGCTATTTAGTGTCACAGACTGGGTGGCTTATAAAAAAACTGAACTTGATTTCTTATAGTTCTGGAAGCTGGAGTCTAAGATCAGGGTGGCACCATTGCTGGTTTTGTTTTTTGTTTTCTTTTAAAAATTTTTATTGTTAACTCTATTACAGATGTTTCCCATTTCCACCCCACCCCTTTGCCTTCCTCCACCCTGCCTCCACCACTCCTAGGCCTTCACCACATTGTCTGTGTTCATGGGCTATGTATATATGCATGTATATTTTTGGTTGATCTCTTCCCATCCTCCCCATACTCCTCCCCTCTAATATCTGTCAGTCTCTTCATGTATCCATGCCACTGGTCCTATTTTGTTCCTCAGTTTATTTTGTTCTTTATATTCCACATATAAGTTAGATCATGTGATATTTGTCTTTCTTTGACTGGCTTATTTCACTTAGCATAATACTGTCCAGGTCCCTCCATGTCATCTCAAAGGGTAAGAGATCTTTCCTTCTTACAGCTGCATAGTACTCCATTGTGTATATGTACCACAGCTTTTTTTATCCTCTCATCTATTAATGGATACTTGGGCTGTTTCCAGATCTTGGCTATTGTAAATAATGCTGCTATAAATTCAGGGGTGCATGTATTTTTTCTGATTGGTATTTTGGAATTCATAGGATATATACCCAGAAGTGGGATTGCTGGTCAAAAGGCAGTTCCATCTTGAAATTTTTGAGGAAATGCCATACTGTTTTCCATGATGGCTGCACCAGTCTGCATTCCCACCAAGAGTGAACTGGGGTTTCATTTTCTCCACATCCTCATCAGCACCTGTTTGTTGATTTATTGATGCATTCTGACCATTGTGAGGTGATACCTTATTGTAGTTTTTATTTGCATCTCTCTACTGATTAGTGACCTTGAGAATTTTTTTCATATGTCTATTGGCCATCTGTATGTCCTCAGGAGAAGTGTCTATTCAGGTCCTTGGCTCATTAAAAAAATTTTTTTTTCTTTATTGGTTTTAGGGAGAGAGGAAGGGAGAGAGAAAGGGAGAGGGAGAGATAGTTAGAAACATTATGAGAAAGGACATCGATTGGCCACCCTGCACGCCCCCCACTCGGAATTTGGCCCAAAAACC